TTCAGCCTTCCTGGCAATAAAGATTTCTTTCTTTTAATGCAACTTTGAAATTCAACTGCCAATATTTTACTTTGAGGCTTAGGAGACTTCAGAGATTCTTCTAATTTTCTCTCCATCTGTGCCTTGGAGCTGTAACATAAATAGTCTTCCTAAGCTTTCAAAGACCATTAGTAACATGTGTTGTCAGGCCAGCTGTGCTCAATGCAGGTTTCAGTGATGTTCCACCAACCTTCATCTAAAATTAGTGGTTCTGTGGCCAGAATATGTAGTCAGGGTATTAATTCAGAGCATTTCTGGGGAACAGCATCCTGGGTGGGCTGTAAAAGGACGTAATGGAACTAATAATTAATTAAATTCACCCTTCTGCAGAGAGCCTTATCCTTGAAGAACCTCTCTTGGTGAGCAAGCAGCAAAGATACTGATCTATGGAAGTTAATCCAGCAAGGTAGACACTGATGTGTAATTCATCAGAATGGCCCCTCCTTGGAGCTTTGCATGACAGATATGTTTGGGATTGAGAGAGGGCAGTCCCCCTTTGCTGGAGCTGCTTCTGTTTCTAAAGTTCCACTGGATATCCTGTGTTTAAAGTTTTCTGTGGCATAAATATTACTGCAATGAGAGAACCAGGCAAGCTGAAGGCTTGAGTCTTGAGTATTGACACCGTGTTAATAACACTACTCCAAATAATAATTATGTGAGGAAAGAGGAAAAAAACCTGGAGCACACACTAACTTACCCAAACACTGTGCCTTTTTTCATATGGTACTGTATGACAGCCTGGCTGGTGCAGCCCTTAAGCCTGGGAATGTCTTTCAGGGACTTGACCCTGAGCTTTTTTTCTCAAATTTTTGTTCCATATCTGTTCACAGTCATTGCTGCACTGCCTTTACCAAGTTACTTGTCTCTCTTCATTTGCTCTGAAACTTTTTGCTCCTCCTTCACTGATCATATTGACCATTAAATACCATTTTGGACTTTAGTGCTGCTTTATTTTACTGAAGAAGTTCTACAAAGTAATGAGTCTAAAATGGTACTTTATTATTTTAGCTTTGTATTTAACATAAGTAGTCTTCTAAAATTACAGATTGCTTTCTTAATTCTAAAAATAAGCATCACAAAATTGTCTGCCAAACTTACAGAAGGTGCTCTATTTCAAATTCAGAATTGCTGTTTGAATTATACTGAATGTGACTGAAATACTTCCAGAACATTTTAATTATTCCTAAATGATAGAAAAATATTTTCTTAAAATGCAACTTTAAAAATCTACAGAAGTAATTGTGGAACTCTGAATGTTTAATTATTCCTTCTATTCCTGGATTTTGCAAAAATATAAAAAAACCACTGACTCGTTCTGCTTAAAACTGCTGATTTAACTCACATTAAACAGATTAAACAGAAATCTAGTGAGACTGTATTTCAGATTACATGATGAAACTAAAAATGTGGATAAAGCAGATAACTTTTAAAGAGTAAAAGTTCAGAGAATTAAATTTTGCAATGAATGCTGGAGACATGGGTTTGTCTCACACAGCTCATCTGATCACCAGCTTTAACCGTGTTGAACTGTTACACCAGCTATCGAGCTCTCCTTGCCCTGCAGGGCTCTTACTCCTTCTCAGCCATGTTCTGCCCAGTCAGTTGCATGGAGCAATAAAGCAACAATGAAGAAAGAGGGAGCTTTATCATCCAGCCCTCAGCCAAAGTATTGCTGGCTCAAGATTTTTAGTTTCTAGAAAGATTTAAGACCAAAATTTTTGTGAGTAGAGGAAAGTATGTTAATGGAGTGATGAGACCAGCTTCAAACTTCTTTGGCATAGAACATATACTCAGTAGTTTCTTGTGCTCACCTTGAATGAACAGCAGCAAGTGAATCCACCAGTATCAATAAATATTAACCCAGACCACTAAATATGTGCCCCATTTTAGCTACATTAATCATTCACCGAAGTCTAAAAGGATGGCTGTCCTTACAAGCTGAAAGAATATAATAAACCATTTAAGAAATGACAGTTTATCTAATCGCATGTACTTACACATTTACTAGAGCTTTCTTATAGGAAAATTTCACACCAATAACAGAATATCATTCTCATCTAGACCTCCTGAGAGTCTTTTTCCTTGTGCAGTTCTAGTTTAGACACTCTTTTGATGTACTCGTAGGGAACATTTGTTGTTCCTCTGTCAACATTACCCTCAAACCGTAAGCACAGCTTATGTGTAAAATAGGAGAGGGATTTTAAAACAGTTAAGCCAAGACAAGAGTAGTCACAGGAACATTGTTCAGAAGATGCTTAAACGCTCTCTGATGACCACTGAAATGGATTCCTTTTGCACATCTGAAATAAACACTGCACTTTAGTGGCAGTTTGAACAACTGAGTTTGCAGAAGTGCCCTCAATTTTATTTTTTTTCTTGGAAACGTTCTCCTCCTTGTCTGTCTTTGTTAGATTCATGAGTTCATATACTGCAACACCTTTTTCCCCAAGAAGATTTTGAGCTGTCAAGGTCCCCCCTATTTTTTTAAATAAGCTTAGATAACAAAATGTAGATGCTTCTTGCTCAGTGCAAACCATTTGCTTACTCACTGTTGTTGCATTATCTTTTAAGGAAACCATCACAGACTGAATGTGTAAGATACTCGTCCCAGGTTTTATTGCAGTTATTCACTATGATGAAATCATAAACTACGTCACCTTCCCAGACTTCTTGCTCAAAATCCAGAGGTCCTTTTCTTGAATTCTTCCCATCTTTTTCATCATTGTTTCTGTAAACAAATCTATGATTTCTTTCACATTCACATTGCACTCACCAAGAATCCAATTCAGAGTCTTTCCTCATTAGAAACCAACTGACCCCGATAAATATTGTCCTCCCTAGGCAGCATAGCTAGCCAAAATAACCTGTATGTTTTCCTAATTAGGATGGGAAATTGTGAAGACATAAGAGTCCTTTGATGCAATTAAATCTGTTTTCGGGATCTGTAATTACAACTCCTTTCTCATGCATGGGAGGGTTCAAAACACATGAGTATCTTCCTGCTCCAGCCTCTTTCAGCCAGCACCCAGTACAAAGGCCACTGGCTTTCCTGAGCATGCTTTAGAGCTGCTTTGTGCTTTGGTTTCATGGTGTTCCTGAGTTCTTGCCTTTGTTTTCTTTGAGCAGTCTCCTACATACTGCCAGGCTCCCTGAGCAGAACACAGAACATCCTCTGCCCACAGTACTCAAGCTGCCGAGCAACCTTGTACTTACCTTTGGTTTGGGAAAAAAAACACATTTGCCTAGTATCTTCTTGTAGCCTATTTATTGAAAGATGGTGGTTATGCCTTGCAATTTCAAGCCAACCTACAAATGCTACACAAAGGACCACCTCAGTAGCACGCAGTAGATGGGTCACTACTACCTGTTGTAAATAGGATCTACATATTCTCAAAATAAGAAACATTTGTTGGTCTTGCAGTGAAACTATCTGTACTAAAATTTTATTCAAAATGGTGTTACCAAGTGTATGTAAGACTGCCAATGGCAGACCTCAGTGAAATTCCACTGGCCCTGCAATGTTTAAAAACACAGAAGAAGGTCTCAACAATGTTGTCTCTGCTTTGTATTAGAAAAAGTATCAATAAAAAGATTTTATTTTATTGTAAAATCATGATTAAGGCTAATTTGAAACTGTATCATCAATTTTGGATCAAGCTGTGAAGTATTCCAGGCATTGTGATTCCCAGTTAAGCAGAAGTCAATTGGGATGTCTGGAAGAATGTATAAATTTCACACCAGACTTTAGTAATAAACCAGTGGCAATTCTTGTCAAGGAGTTAAGTATTTAGACTTCAAAAGAGTTGTTACACAATTTGGTAACAACAGTTACCAGATAATTGCTAACTACCAGTACTGTTCTGTGCTCTCCTAATTATTTTGTGTGATCTTTATATATGGTCTGTGGAAGGAGCTACATTCGAAACTAGACAGTCATCCAGATTCTGTCTTTAACTGATAAACAGATTGAAGCCAATGCTTTTATTTGGACTAACAAATGGATATATGGAACACTGCTTGCACAACTGCGATTATCACTGCCTAGGGCTACCGATGACGGGCAGCATTTCCCCAGTCTCGGGGAGCTGCAGTGATTTCCAGCCCGGGGAGCGTGCGAGGGAACAGGGCGGGCTCACCCCATCGCCCTGCGCAGGCACGTAAGAGTATCCACGAAGTTGTACCGCACGGCGGGGGGCGGGCAGCGGGAGCGCGGGGACTGTGCCTGCTCTCTGATACCTGCCTGCTCGGGAGGGGGTAAAAACAACTTGATTTGTAAAAGGAAGAGGGGGAAAAAAGGAATGTTTGGCACTGTTGTTACTTCCGGCTGTCAGAGCCTCAGTCGTGGCAGCTGTCGCGACTTCTCCCTTGCGGGAGCCGCGCTACTCTGCGGTGCAGCCGGGGCTGCCCCTTCTCGCCGGCCGCCCGGGCTTTGAAAATAGCGCGCAGCTCTACAACTGCTCGGCACCCGCGCTCCTCCGGGGTCCCGCGGCTCTCCCTCCGCGCACGTTCCCCGCTCCCCGGCGGCGGGCCCGGGAGCGCTCCGCACCCACCGGCGCTGCCCCGCGCTCACGGCCGCCTGGAGGCACCGGGCCGCGGCCCGCTCACCTCGCCGACATGGTATCATCCGAAACCCGTAGCCCGCTACGGCGTGGTATATCCCGGCGCGGGAGGCGCTTCCCCCGGGCCGGGCGCGCCCGCCGCCCCCCAGCCCCTCTTCCCTGGCGCTGCCAGAGGAACAAGGGCGCGCCCGCCGCTCCCTCTCTTTGTGTGCGAGCGAGGGAGCGCGCGCGGGCGGGCCCGAGACACAGCGCGGAGGAGGGCGCGGGGCAGCGCGGCCGGGGAGCGGCGCGGGCGGGCGGCGGAGCGGAGCGGAGCGCGCCGCGGGGGCGGGGGAAGGTGGAGTGAGGAGCGCGGGGCGGTGGCGGCGGCGGCGGCGGCGGTAGGGCGGGGGGGGGGAGGGAGGAAAGGCGGGCGGCTGCTGGTGGCGGATAATGATGGCGTGGTGCGCGCGGCCGCTGGGCGGCCGGGAGCGCTGAGGGGAAGGAGGCGGCGGGACCCCCGCCCCCAGGTAGGCTGGCTCGGAAAGTTTGGGGCGAAGTACCGGGGCGGCTCCGCTGCGCGCCCCGCAGGCCCCGCGGCGCAAAGGCGTCGCCACGGCGAAGCCGCAGCTTGGGGCCGAAACTTGCGGCTTCCCCGTTCCGGGCGGCACGGGGCGCCCGGGCCCCTCCGTCCCGCGGTGCGGGCAGCGGGGTCCGGCCGGGCCCGGCTTCCCCCGGGCGCCAGGAAGAGAAGGGAAGGGCCGGCGCTGCCCCCTCCCCCGCCGCCCGGCCCGGCCTGGCCCGGCCCGGGACGGCCCTTGGCGGAGGGGCGGCAGCCGGAGGGGGCGGGGGGCCGCCTGCCGCCGCCGCATCCCCTGCCGGAGCTGCCAGGTCGGTGCCCGGGCGGACGGGCAGCAGCTGGTTCCCCGCGTCCCGGCGGACACAATGGGGTTTATCCCGCGGGGAGGTCTCGGGCGACGTTTCCCACCCCGAGTTTTGAATTCGTGTCACACGCCGGCGAGGCCCCGAGTTAATGGAAACTCTCTGTCTCTCTGCAGATGGCTCTCCGGATACCGCGATCCGCGCTGGGGATAACACCCGATGTAGCCATTCACGCGCTTTGATTTCTTTCTCTCCCCTGCACTCCATTTCAGTGCAAGCGGGGAAGCTGGCTGAGTGAAAGGCTGCTTTTGGGATCTTCTGTGGGATCTGCTCTGCCTGCTGTTGGAGGGTGGAAGCTTTGTGCTAAGGAGCCGTTCTTCCCATTCTTCTTCAGGAGTCGAGGGAGCTTTCTCTTTGACAATGATGAAAACTGAAGGCAAGGGGGAAAGGACTTTAAGAAGTGCATCACCACACCGAAATGCCTATAAATCTGATTTCCATGCTATCAAATGCTCTTTTGATGGTGTAAACAATCCTGATAACACTTCCAGTAAAACAGGCTTGCATCAGAAGCTGAACACCTCTTCCAATGGAGGGGGAAATGACCCACACAGTCGAGGCAGAGCTGCCACTTATGGCAATAGAGTACACAAGATCAAAAATATGTTTCTGCAAATGGGAAGCTCTTCTTCCACAGCCTCTGAAAGCAGTCCACCTGCTGAGACCAAATTAATCAGCCGGGCCACGGCAGCAGAGTATGGACCTTCTCCAGGTAGCCCATCTTTTCTCATTGTCCAAAAAAATAATCTTCTTAATACAAGCACCAGCCCCTGCAGCAGTCCTGTGGATTCATTATCTGTGCCTTCTGCTGCCGACAGGGTTGTCCGTAGCAGTGATGAGGCAGACTTGGACAAAGTTGCCCTGGCAGAAAAATTTTCGGAGACTAGGAAGCTTTTTGAGAGGAATATAAAACAGCGGAGCTCAGTGGACAGATACTCCCCCAGCAAATGTGAAAGAAGTGAAGATAAGAGGAGACGTGGTTCAGCTTCTGATTGCAGCAATGTGGTGGACAACTTCAGTTTTAATACAGAAGCGAGTCCTCCAGTCGCACTGGAGAAAGTTGAAAATCAAGGCAGTGAGGAGTTGAAACAGCAACATCCCAATAGTGGTTCTAAATCCTCCTTCCTGAATGCAGGGCCCATTTCTAGGAGGCTGGAAAGCTTTTTGGGTGACAGTGATACTGAAGAATCCAAAGAAATTTCAAAAAATGATAGTCCTCCGAATCAGGACCCTTTGAGAGGCCGGGAGAGTTTGAATTTGCCTGCTGTTGCTGAAGGATGTCTGGAGAAGGGTGTGTTCCCCAAAGTGCTTGGGATTCGCAGAGATGAGCCGAGTGAGGCTCTTGGAAAAGACAAAAGGGAGCAACTGGTACTTGAGAGAAGCCTGTGGGATATGGGCAGTGTGCCCGGTCAGGAGGCTCAGCACAGATCAGATAGTGTTTCCTCCTCGGTTTCCCCCACAGAGGGGACTTGCACAGAGCCAGTTGGACAAAATGAAACCTCAGGGCATGAAAATGAAGGTTTGGAGAAAGATCACGTTGTTCAAGAGGATCAGATGCTCATATGTCAAGTACAGGAAGGGGAGAGGAGTGACTATGCCTTGGAAGTGATAGAAGAGTCTATGGATGGCAGCAAGACCAGTTGGGAAGAAGAAAGAAATGGGTTGTCTGTAAGAGATGGTCCAGTTACACGCATTCAGGACGTTCTAGAGCAGGAAGAGGATACTGAAGAAGAGGAGCAAGTGTTGGAAAAGCAAAGTGAGGACTTCAGTGCTTTTGGAATAGAGAATGCAGCTTTTGATGGTGACAGGGATACAGAGCCAGAAAACCAAGAGCCTGAAGGCAAAGAAATTTTGGAGGGAGAGGATGCGTATATGTATGACAGTGAATATGAGGAGTTTCCTGGACTGTCTGAAGAGGAGGATCCTGATCCAGACCGAAAAGTCAAGTTCTCAACAGCTCCTATCAAAGTAAGTACATTTGAATTGTCTTTATTTTTTAATTGTTTTGCAGTCAAAAATACCCAGGAAATACATTTTGTGGGGTTTTTTTCAAAGCTCCAGAAACCCTTTAAAAAGTGTTACGTTTACAGCTTTTATTTAACACTAAATAGGAGAAAAGTTACATGTTCAGAAAATTTATAAATTAGTCACAAATGATTTCTTAATTACAGCAGCTTCATAAGATAGTATAGTGGAGCACATGAGATTTTACTTGCCAGACATTTTCAGGACCACAAATGTTTTAGGCATAGACATGAACACATGACCTTTAATAGTTGCCTTCATTTGTTTAAAATTGAGTCGTTGCATTAGGAAGAATTTTTTTCAGTTTTACTTTTTGTAAAAAAGTTTTTAAAAAACCCCCAAAAAATAACAAAAAAACCCATAGCAAACTTTCAGATTCAACTTCAGACTTGGTTATAGAATTAACTATAAGAAAACATGAAAGACTGATTCGTGTTATTTAAGAGTCTAGAATTCTCTCTAATAATAACCATACATATGTTATTTGGTTTTAATACTGGATTGGTGAATAAGCCGTAGGAGTGTTAACATGAGTATTTTGGAATCACGAAGTTGCAGAAGTGGAAGTTACAAGGCAGACTGGGTAATGAGGAGTACTGTAAGTTACAACTCTAACAAATGAAAAAGATTTGTATGTTTGATCTTCCCTCACCAAAATACCCACAAAATAAGTTGTTCTACAACTTGAACTGTGTTTACCCGTAGTCTCTTGCAGATTTGAATTATTCTAGTCCCTCTTAAACTTTGGGAGAAGAATTGGGAGATGCAGACCAGGATGGAATGGGAAACAGTCCAGGCTTTCTTAAGCATACTTCACTTCTACTGTTACATGTATGAAAAATGTCAGCTTTTACACCTTGTTCGTACAGTCAAGACTTGCTTTTACTGATCAGAGGGATGTAAAATTCTATTGACTCTTGAATTTCCCACAGTGGAGAGCTGTAATTTATCGGTTTGCTAAACGCACACCAGTGCTGTACCCCAGAAAATGTTCTGGGTGTGGCAAAATGTGAGTTTTGTTGCACGTGGGGGTTTTTTGTAGTCTCTCCATGGACAGGGTGACTTTATATGGCTTTCTTGTAGATGATGCTGCTTTAGTGGTGACCTGGAGCAGTGAAGGGGAGAGTGCTGGTATTGAAAACTGCATAATGAGTCTGATGAGGGCTGGGAGAGAGCCGGAGGGGCATCAGTCCATTTCCCCTTGCATTCGTGCACTGAATGTCTGAGGAAAGTGCCGTATAGAGTCTACTGTAAATGTGTGTTGAGTGACTCCCTGCTGTAGGCAGGGTTTTACTGATCGTTGCTGAAATCCTACTGAAGCAGGGGCTGTTAACAGACTGCCGCTTTCTCTGTGATGTCTATGCCAGACATAGTTGAAAGCATTAGTAGAAATCTCAGTGCCAACCGTGATGGAAGCTCTCATGTAGACAAAACACAGTTTTTTGTAATAAGCACTGTTCAAATATAGCTGCTTCTCTGAAAGCCACAGGAACCAACCTGCACCAGATTATCATTTACACAACCAAGAGATGAATGTTTAGTAGCAATTGTTAGCAGTTTTCCAGGAAAAACAACGCAGTTCTTGCCATAATGCCCCACTTGGATTTGCAGAATATAGTGTCCTTAATAGCAATATGATCACTGAAGATACTTTTTAGGGCCCTTAAATAGAATCTTGTGATCCTTGCCTTTCTTTATCCCCTGTCAATGATACTTGGCTATATCTTCCCTATTTTGGGTATAGGGATGTCTTTCTGTATGTCATTTTCAATAGGTTTTCCCCCTTTGTTCCTCATGCCTAAGCAATGATTTCTTTTCCTATGTCTGCCTTTTTGCTTCATGTTTTCTATGATACTTAGTGGGAATAAGTCCTGGTATATGGTTTTTGAGGTTTATACTCTGTAAAATAAAGAATTCCAACTTTTTTTTTGCTTACCCAAAATTTTCTTTAGTTGTGTAACTTTAATACCTCATTAGCCTTTTAGAAAATCCCAGTTTTACCTCAAAGAAGGAAATTTCTCTGTCTGACTTTCTGTGTAGATTTTAGTGCATCTTAAATTGGAAGAGAAAAAAATCTGAGTGGTAGCTAGATTATTCCTGGTCCCCACCACAGCTTAGAGCATTGCCATAGTGAGAAATGCATCCTAGTAACTTCCTTTTTCAGCTTTATTTATACTAATAAGTTTGACTAAAATGTGAGTGCCATTTTCAGACCTTCATAGGCACTAGAGAAGAAGGTCTGTGTTCCTCCTCATAGACGCTACTGAGAGAGGCCAGCTTGGCCTTGCATTCTTGCTGTTTTCCTTCTGCACCTCTCTGGTGTTTACAAAAAAACATCTGTGTCTCTTGCAGTTGCTGTTTAGCAGGTGTGTGATAGAGTTGAAGAATTCAAAACATTCAGAAGGTACTGGGCATAAAAAAGCACATTCTCAGATCTTTGAGGTTCTGAAGTGATGGAGCTCTGACCATTGTACTTGATATACACAAAAGAGAAGTTGGATATGTGTGAAGGTAATGCATATAACTTAAGCACAGGCACCTTAGAAACAATATTTATGCTGCAGGATCAAAGGGAATGTGATTAATATTTCTGCTTCAAAATTGCTAGTCAGTTGTAAAATTGGCAAGGCCTTTGAGTAAAAGGAGGAGACTATGCAGCTCCCAGGGGATGTGGAAGGGAGCTAACTCTGTTAGCACTGCATCTGACCCATGATAGAAATCCATGATTGTTGACATCTGTAGCAGGGCTTAAGAACATAATTTGATCTGATAATTTCAGGAAAGATGGAACATAATTACACAAATACTCCCATTATTTTGTGTTGCCCTGTGCCTGTGAAAGCAAGCACAGATGAGACTTTTTAAAAGAAATGTTTCAATTCCATAGAAACTGGTGATAAATGACGTGTGGGAAGATTTCTTATGTGCTGTGGGTAACCCAACTCTCTTTAGTCCTGCTGCTGTTTGATCTTTGCAGACCTTAAGGCACACTATGTCCCGGTTGCTTATTTTATCTACAGTAGTTGAAAGAGTGATGCTGTGCAGTTATTAGCAGAACTTTGCAGAGTGGGTTTGTATTATGGTACCTGAGCAATTTTTAGTCTCTTGTTGCCACATATGAAGCCAGTAAGGAATGTAAAGCACACTCAGCTGCCCAAGGTATTTGCAAGGGAACTGAATTTGTCTTTGTCTTGAAGTTTGCTGAATAAACTGTGTAAACAATCAGTATTGCACAGTGCAAAGAACATCAGGTAACTCTGCTGTCATCCCTTTATATTTCATTTTGCCTTTGTAACGTAGACATTACCTTGAAAGGGTCTAATTAACATAAATGTAATGACTGAGTGCTCTTTGAGATTCGTAATTTTGAAATATTTAGTTGGGAAAACAAATGCCTGTTTTCAAAGTGGCTTCTTGAGTTGTTCTTACCTCTGACTATGTCAAACTTTGTCCTCAAAACCTTTTATAGTACAGTGACTAACTTCTGCAATGATTTATGATCCTTAGAAATTCTGTAGCTCAGGTAAACTGAAAAGATAGTACAGCTACTGTTTGCTTCTGTAAGTCTGTTTAATTATCAGTGTTATCTAGTTCATGTTTCGTGGGAGTGGCTGTTCCCTCCTTTTTGTGAATAATAATATATTTCAAGATTTAGTCAAGAACACAGTTTAAAAAAACCCAAACTAAACAAAACCCAAACCTTCCTAAAGGCGTTACTTTTGTATTGTCACAGTTGAGCAGGAGCTTAAATTTATTTCTTAAGGAAACTGAAAGCAGTTTCGTAGTTTGTGCGTTGTCCTGACCAGTCAAGTATCAGCTGCTTCTGAGAGAATATGGAAATCCTTTATAATATTGCCATTTGTCTTGCACATCAGAATAGATCTGTTTTACATGTAGCTGGGCACAAATGATAACATTGTTCAGGCTGGCCTACTCTTCAGTCTTTTTATTACAAAACTGCTTACTGTGGAAGTTAATGAAGCACTAAATGAAGATAACCTTGAATTAGATTTCCTGTATGACAGCATATCTGTAAATGCTTACCACTTTTAGGAGATGCACAAATTTTCTAGGTCAATGTGTAGATTCTTGAATACTCATTGAATAACAATATTGTAGAGTAGTGCTTCAGCTTCATACAGCCTCTGATTTTTGAGCTGTTAACTTCTGTACTTACGGTTTCATATACTGAAAGGGATACAAAATACACTAAGTAGTAGAAGATACCCAAACCCTGGAGTTTCTTCAGTAATTAGAAAATTGATGACTGGTCAGTTGTTTGTCAGCCATTGCTCAAGCACTTCAGTAAAATACTTCAGTGGTGTTAAGAAACAAGTATGTGATGTGGATGTAAGTGGATGTAGGAAAGTAGAGATTTGATCTGAAAGTAGATTTAAACAGAATTGACTAATATGTGGGAAGTTGTCTGGTCTTTTTTCTTGACACAAATAACGTGAGTGCATTTCCATTGTGCTTTGTTTGGGACCTTTTGCAATGACAATTTTCTTGTTGTAACTGATAGATTTGATTTATTTTGAAGCTCTGTTTATCAACGTTACAACATTAGTAACTTAACATCATAACAACTTCGTGTTATTATCACAAACTCTTCATGGTACTTTTCAGTGACATTTTGCAAAAAGTAACCCTGTTTTGTCCTGCCTGCATCTGAGAGTGTGGCATTCCTGCTGGTTAACAGTATGGGATGTTAAAAACATGGATATTACCTGGAGGAAGAAGGTACATATTTTCACACGTGTGAAATTTTTTTTTGGGGGGGTGAGGAAAGATAATCTTTAAACTCTTACTGAAATTTCAGTTTTCATGTAAGTTAAAAGTTTATTAGGCCTAAATGCATTTAGTTCTGTGTATGGGTTTACCTGGGTTAAAAAGTCCAATATTTCTGATGCCTTTATGGTCCTTATGCTGTTTTGATTCCATAACAGTTGTTTAGCTGTCCAGAAAGAAGCCCTTTCAACTCAAGCTGTCTTTTTTTTTTTTTTTTAATATCATACATTCTCTGTTTAGATTTTTAGGAAATATTTGATATGTAAGTTTTACAATAGTAGATTGATTTGGCATTTCAAGAGTCTTTGGATGAGAGTCCAGAAAGTGCCAGGACATGGGACTGTAGAGCAGAAATCTAAATTGGAACAGAAAAAGTAAAGAATTTCTTTTTATGTCATGGCTCACTGCTGTAGCAGCTTGACTCTTTACTTTAATATGTCAGTGTATTTCTAACTGAATTATTCCACAGATGCAGTTAGATAACATACTAGCTGACCTGTTTGATGTATTTGATTATGCTGTAAAACTATAGAAAAATAAGAGAATGCTGAGATTATGAAGGTCAGGTGAGGTTATCACCTGCCCATCCTCACTCCTTTTTCAGTTCCTCCAGCTTCTAACTAGCAGTGCTAGCAGTTTCACTTAGATTTGATAGGGAGGAAAAAGAGGTTTTTAAAGGTATTTTTAAGGTACTTCTTGATTTGCAGAAAATTAGCACTTGTATCAGAGTTGTGGATTCACATGCTTGCTGAGGGCATGCAGCTTTAGTTTAAATTGCTTGTTCTTTTTGACTTAATGTTAGCTGATCACTTTGTGTGCCCAGCCCGTGCTGTGTTTTTCTCTGAATAGCTGTGGGGAACAGGAGGGAGGAAAGAAGGTGAATAGGAGGCACTTGAGGGTTTCATGGGTGATGCAGTCAGAAGAAACACTGAGGAGGTGTTGAAGGTCAGCAAAGATAAGCAAATTTATGGGAGACAAGTTCATTAGCTCAACAGCTAAGCTGCTGAAAGATTCAGTGTCTTTTTGATGATGATTTCTGTTATTAGCATCTGAGAATACATGACCTAGGCTAGTAAAGAATGAACAGGAAGTAGCTGAAACTTGTTTCTAGTTTACCTTTGGAGAGATGGAAAACTTAATTATCCCTTTCCATATAATTCTAACATAGAAGGTGAACACTAAGAGGGACATCAGATGTGTGCCTCTATTAGCTGAGTACACATTTTGTAACCTTAAGATAAAGGTGCAGTGTTGCAGAATTTTTACAGGGTTCTTATATTTTTATTGAGTAGGAAAGTATTATGCAACATGGCAAATTCTTTACATTTATTTCTCCATCATTTTCTTCTATCACCCTCTGATGCGACTTGGCATAGTGAGATGACCCTTTTTGAATCTGGGGTATTGATCATTGCTAATGACAGTATTAATGCAGATCAGTTAATTGAGTTGATTGGGTGTAACAGGGTTATTTTGTTGTTGTTTCTTCTTATGGTCTTTAGAAAACAGTCAGATGGACACTATTTTTGTGTTAGTTGTTATTCTTTTGAAGTTCCCCATACCAATTTGCTTGCTGTTTAAATTTGATCAGGTCAAGATTTCTGTTTTGGTGAATACTAAATAAATACACATATCTATGTGGATTACCAGGTGTAAACTGAGGGGTACCAAGACACCTGTGAAGCTTATGGATGTTTGTAATTGAATCACTCTCTTTATAAGCAAAGTCAAGGGAGCCAAGATTTTTTGGGTGTGCCCCCTTTTGTGTGGTATTGTGACTAGTTTTTTGATTGTGAGTAGTATTTTGATCATATCCTATTTATTTTGAAGTCTTTCAGTCTCTTTGTCAGTCAGAGAGCAATGCCACCTCAACTGGTGGAGGAGATGGTGGAGGAGTACAACCAGGTCACAGATGGAGATCATGGATCTTCTCTCAACTTCTTCTTTGAATGTCTGAAATGAAAGAAAATCAGTGCTCTGCATCTGAATGGATGCTGTTCTCTGGTTTCAATATTTCTTCCACTGGGATTTAAAAATTAAATACCTGAAAGTGAGAGAATTTCTCCTTCTCGAGTAGGTAGCATAACCTGACTGAAATAGATGCTGTATTGGCTGTCTTGTTCTCTAGCTGGCTCCAGTGATTTTGCTCCTGCAGTGAAATACGGAACTGGAGAATAAATTTTACTGGTTTTATTGAGAATTAGATAGAGAATAATGAGCTTGGCTAAAAACCTGGTTTATTTATGATTAAATTGTCTATGTGAAATTGTCTGTACTGTAGATCCAAAGCAGGGTTTCACTTATGTAAATTGACTTGGCTGGGGCTTTTAAGTCATACAGAGCTGCAAGATCAAAGACATAAATGTGTGCAGCCTGCCTGTATATCAACCTGTTCAACAGTTGCTAACTATTCTGAAAACTTTTTGAAGAAGAGTAAAGGTGTGCAAGATATTTCTCTGTGCTGATTCTGTAATGCTTTTATAGCATCAATTGACTTAAATTAGATACAGACCCTTTTCACTTAAAATATAAAAAGTAGCGGTAATAAAATACTAACCATGTAGCTTTTGGAAATAGAGGGAAGAATGGGTAGTGGTAACAAGATGTCTACTTGAACTGAAGAGGGAGATTGTAAGAGTAAACTGTAGAGTGTACATTATGCTTCAGGTCTACTTCAGTGCTACTCTTTCAAATGATTATTCATGTTTGCCTGGGCACTTCGCATTTTGCCAGGCATCACAAAGGCCATCAATTTGGAAAGCCGAAACTGTTCACTATTAAATAATTTTCCCTGATCTGTAACTTGGGTTTCGAATGTTTGGCTTTACTGAGTGTCAGTAAACTTGCCCGTTCAAAGTGAGCCCCATGTTTCAGAAGTGAGGTGAACCAAGGGGTGTAGCTGTGGCTGGATGTGGAGTCCAGCCAGGGTGTCAGTAACACTCCAGAGCCTCTCTCAGCTGGCAGGTGTTACTGCCTGTGCAGGTGCTCTGAGGCTTTCCAGCAAATACTGCAGTATTACATGAGAATTTTAAAGTGATGCTGATATTGCTTCTGTTCCAAATAGTTGAAAGCCCTTCTGGGCAGTTACTGATTTCTTAATCTTACTGCTTAATTACTTTTGTAATGTTCTGCTTTTCATCGAACACAAACAAATCTATATACTAGAAATGAATGTGGCAGTGAAGGTCTTCGGGCAGTGGTTTATCACTCTGTAGCACTTTCATGCAAGCATTATCACATTTCTGTGATAATGCTGTTTTCTGTGGTAGCACTAAGATGATAAAATGGAGATTTTTAGTTCTCTGTAGTTACAGGAACTCAACAGTAGGATCTCTTAGACAGTAGGCTGCATTGGTGTTCTTTGAGTGCTGACCTTGATGATGTTGATATTAACACCTTCATAGAAGGTGCAAAACTGAGTTGTTCATGTTCAAAAATTTGTTCATTTTCCTGGTGTAAAAAATGCAGCTTGTTCTGTCTCCAAATAAATATGTATGTTCAAGCACTAAGTATATTTGAAAATTTACAGTTATATGTCTTAACAATTTAATTAAAGTAGTTCTTAAAAATTCAGCCCTCTAACAGAATTATTTTTGATTCAAATTAATTTTATTCATTCTGAAGGAAAAAGGTCTTGAGTGTAAAAGGAAATTATTTTTTCAGATAGTTTGACAGGATTAAAAAGTTATTAATGTTAGGGCAACCTGGATATATAACAAACTATGATAAAAGGCTTGTAAAATTCACATGGTTTCCACAGTAAAATTAATCTCTTTTCTCCTATGTCATGACAATCACTTGTGTTTGCTAAATAATATCTTTTAAAAATACTACTTGCACACTAATAATTTTATGATCTCTGGCTAGCAGTGGCTTCTGAATAGTAAGATTAGAATTTCTTTTGTCTGTAATGCATTTGATTCAGTGACTAAACCCTGCCAGACACAGTGCAGGGATGAACATGTTTAGCTTTCTCATCAATCTTCTAAACTGTGAACTTATATTACTTATTATCCACATTTTAACTGTGTATAAATGTTACTTTTGCTACTTTGCGAGGACAACTTGCTGAACTGTTTTGCATTTTCTATATTAGTAACAACATTTTTACCATTTCTGGCTCATAAAAGATGAATATCATGTTATGATTCCACATGTACACAATAAAAATTTCTGTCTTTTTCCCTTGACTCTTTGGTCATAGTTTTTGTAGTGTTCTTTTGCTTTTCTTTCTGTTATTGCAGTGTTTGGCTTCTGGTTATAAGTTTTGGTTTTCCTCTGTTCCTTGTAAACTGATGTTTTTCTTAAAAGTCTGAAGTTAGGAGGGGGGTATATTGTTCTTACCATTTTGAAATGGGGCTACCTTTTTTAGTTGTGAGGTTGTGGTTTTTAGAATATTATCTAAATGTTCTCATACACTTCCATCTGTTACTTAAAAGTATGAATTCTTTCTCTTAGTGAATTATTCAGAATTGATTTCAGCTAAGCTTTACTTAAAAAGCTGCAAAAAGTACGCATAAATATTAGTAGTCTTCATTTGCATAGATATATTTGTGCTGTTGTTTTATTAATAACAATTATATACATCACTGGAACCTAAGGCACCACTAGTTTTAAATTCTATTATCCACTCCCAGTAGATGATCAATTCCTATGATCAATTTTGTATCAAAATTAGCAAATTCCATGAGACTCCTAAGTACGGTTCTATTACTTTTAAGTTGGAAAAATAATAAATAATTTTTAGAAGTTCTAGAAATGTTTTAGTGCTGGTAGCCCAAGACTTGCAGCATATGTAATGCTATTGCTATGGTGCAACTTTGCTTCCCCCAAGTTTCTAGTGCTTTATAAATTATTGTGCAAGGAATTAGTCATCCCTGCGGTAATGTAATTCTTCAGTAGATAGTGGCTACTTGCATCATCTTCTGCTTTGTGAGTTAGACCACTGAGTTATAAAGAATAAGGAAAATATAGTTGTCACTGTCTCCCAAATGAACTCCTGCCATTGTCCACATTTTGCTCATTCAGCCATTTGACAGTTAGTGACCTTTGACATTTTAGTCATACTATTAAGACTAGATTATATGTATACTAATTTATAAGCAAACTTGATGTTTTTCATGCCCTGGTATTTGATTTGTTCTCAAGAACTCAAATATTCTCACTAAGAAATTATTACTTGTTCCCTCATGAACTTCTTTTTTATTATCAGTTTAAAATTCATCTTATTATAACTTGACTATATTTTTAGAGAGATTGCTTTTTCTATTGGGATGGAAAGGAAGCAAACTAGACTGGTTTTGTTCCAAAGGGAGAATAATGCTTCATGAAATGTCCTATTTACTGATTTGGGGACTAAGAAGGGTGATTAAAGAACTTGGGAACTTGGCCACCTTTTTCTGATAATAATAGAGTAAGGGTACTTTAGACCATTTAGATGGTTTTCTTTGTCTGTTTTGCAGATTTATTCTGTAAAGTTCATGGAAGACATACTGTAAGTGTGACCCTTGTTGTCCAGTTGTGTCTGGTTGTTTCCTACTGATGTCTGTAAATAGTCAAAAGGTGTTTATTAACCTTTTCTGCAAGATTTAGGAAGAACAACTTTTGTGTTAAAGTTCCTTTATTGGGGGAAACATAAGACTTCTGAAAGTGGGTTTCTTCCTTCCCTTTCAGCCAAGTGGATCTAATCTTGCTTACTTACTGGACCGACTATATGGCCGTGCCACGTTTCAGGAGTAGATGTTTTGCAGGGTTTGGGAAGAGTGTGTGAAACTGATCTCCAGCTGGAGTCTGAAGGGAAAGCAGTAACTCCCCATGGGAAATAGTGTAACTATTAGTTGCTTTTTCATAACCTGTTTCAATAACTGCTTTTCTGTGTCTGAGGCTACTGCCATGCAGAGCTAACACATATACCAGTGAATGTAAATTCACAGGGAAAATGTTAATTACGGTTAATGTTGTCTTACTTACATGATTGCAGTTACCTGTCTACGTAGTCTTAGTGGCAAAATACAAAAATTGCAGAAATTTAGTGGGCCAGTGTAAATGAACTTTGTGTCAGCACTGCATGTTCTTGATTAGGGAGATGGCTGCTGCAGCTGCAATCCGTAACTGTTTTTTGTCTTACAGTGATGTTGAATAAAACACTCGGGGCCTGCAAAACATTTAGCAGAGAAACCTTGTTTTTAAAGATAAGCGGGGTGGTATATTATTTTTCCTTTTTTTCCCCTAAGTTATTAATTTAAATACAGTCAATGAACATGCTGATGTTTAAAATTAACCCTGTTACATGTACCTCATTCTTCCTTTGTAGATTTCTGCCTTAATTTGTGTTGTTTGTTTATCTCTTTATTTTTAACAGTCCAGAAATTCAGTTGGAGTGATTACTAAAAATAGTAATGTATGTAGCAAGGCATTTCCTTTTCCTGGGAAACTGCGTGATTCCCTTGCAAAATCAGAAAACTACATCTGTTTGAAACACTGCAATTGGCAGATGGTGTGGGGGGAGGGAAGAAGAGAGGAAGGATTTGGTGGAATGTAGTCCTAAAAAAAAAAGTCACACTGTATCAAGAGGAGATAACTGATTTCTTTTAACTGTTTTGTACATTTACAACACAAAATGTGTTTATGAAATTGTTTTGAAACTTTTAAAATGTTACTTTTGTGCAAGTTGAAAACTATCTGACAGCAGCAGTATTTGCTAAACCGATAGTTGTTTAGAAAATGAGATCTCTGAAAGTACCACTTTAATTCCTTACTGATTGTGCTTGTCTTTCAATTATATGATGTTTGAAAGGAGGTGAGAAAACATTAAAAAAGTTTTCTGTTACCTTTCTTAGGTTTTCAGTACTTACTCAAATGAAGACTATGATAGACGTAATGAAGAAGTTGACCCTGTGGCAGCCTCAGCTGAGTATGAACTTGAGAAAAGGGTGGAAAAGATGGAAGTATTTCCTGTGGAAATTGAAAAAGGTGCAAATCAAACCTTGAACATTTGCAATAGATACTATGTGAACAAAAGATAAAGCCATTTAAAACTATATTCCCAGAACTTAGCTCTTGAATTTTTGAATGTTTGTCTAGGCTTTAATTGTGTGGCTATTTCTGTTGAATTTGGTGAATGTTAACTGGACAGGCCTCTGCTAAGTGCAAATTGTCATACTGAATTGAAGTTAGGAACAAAAACGCTCTTAGTACTATCATCTAAGTATAAAATATGTTGTCTTTTTCAGGGTTTTTTGGGGGTTTTTTGTGGGAAGGACTTGAAATGCTTTGAAACAACTCAGTACTGCTAACTGTTACATTATGTGTCATGCAACTAATGTTGGATTTTTGAATCCCTTAGGTGACAGGGGTCTGGGCATCAGTATCATTGGAATGGGAGTTGGTGCTGATCAGGGACTGGAAAAACTAGGTATTTTTGTAAAAACAATAACAGATGGTGGAGCTGCTCAGAGGGATGGACGGTGAGGTTTTTTTTTATTGAATTGATTATGCTTTTTACAGATTTGTAACTGATCCCAATTACTTTTATTAGATATGCTGAATACTGTGAATAAAAGTACAAAAGCTGAATGCAGCTGAGTGATTATTACATTCCTGCTTTATCTTAATTTTTTTTAAAATGGGGAATTATTTCTTATAGGACATTTTTGATAAGTAAGTGTAGATCTGCTTACAGCATATATAAGAAAAGGTTGGCATGAGCCCTTGTGTAGAAGTACCACAAAATCGTGTTAATACCCCAGGACACCAATCACTGTGTAAATAGTATAAAAGATATCAAGTCTAATACTGTGTAAATTTTAATTTGTGATTTGCATAGTAACTGAAGATCAGGAGACTGTTTTTAAGCAATGAATTCCAATGGGCTCAGAATTTGTCCTTATAAATACTAGTGAGTTTTAAGTGATATTTGTCAAAAATACTTCAAGCCAAAATATTATTATTATTTAACTGATAGCTAAGCATTTCTTTATTTTGCAGAATTCAAGTAAATGATCAGATTGTTGAGGTTGATGGCATCAGTCTGGTGGGAGTTACTCAGTTCTTTGCAGCCACTGTATTAAAGAACACCAAGGGCACAGTGAGGTACGTACGTTTTTTATGAAATAACACTTCGGTTTTGTCATTTTTCATTCACGGAGAATACAAAACCATAATATGAAGAATTTGCAAGGATTCTATCGAAGGCAACAGTATGGCAAACTCATTTCTTAAGCATATCTAATGATTTTTTGCTGGAAGATAATTTGTTTTTCTCCTGTAGGTTTCTGATTGGGAGAGAGAAGCCAGGGGCTGAGAGTGAAGTAGCCCGTCTCATTAGTGAGACCTTAGAGCAAGAGAGATGTCTGTATGAGCAGCACTACGCTCATGATGATACAGAGCAGGTAAAACATCCTACAGACTTACATGTTTTTAAAAGTACATGATTTCCACTACGCACAATAACTTCTGCTAATGGAACAAATGTGGTTTTTAAATGAAACTGAAGCAGAAAAGGATAAAACAGACAACTTGTTAAAAACAGGAAAATACAAACTTAATATATTACTGTTCTTCAGGCACATGATTTTGACTTTATCAATAATCCAAAAATATATTTTTAACTATCAGCTGTGTGTAATTGTTTTGTGCATGTTTTACTTTGCTCTCTTTTGTGAAACTTTAATGAAGGTGTTTGCAATTCATCTTTAACATTATCAGAGGTGCAAGAAAATAAAAAGGAATAGTAATTAGTCAAGAAAAGTTTTGCAGCTGTTTGGATTCCTTGATTGTGTGCTTTGGTTGTTGCTGCCATAATGCAAAAGTGTGTGTGCGTTACAGAATGTCATTTTTTGATTTTGTCAGGATGATGACTATGATGATGATGAAGAGGATACATATGAGTCACATTTACATGGGAAATCTGTAGAAGTTTTTGATCTTCCTGAAAACGAAGACATTGGTTTACTACTGGATATGGATTCAGCAGAGTCTCTTCTTAAATTTAAAGAGGTGTTGTGGCAGTTTCTTGAATATTCTTTGCACTGGGGAGCATCTGAACCTTGTAGGACTTGGATATAATGTCCTTCATGTCCCTCTCATGGTTTTGGGTTTGTTTTTTCCCAACATCACCAGCAAATCTTTCTGTTTTGTCCATTGAAATGTAGATCTTCTGTTATTTTTTTATCCCAGTTTCCCTATGCATATGTACATTAAGTGGTCTGTTGATTTAAATTAAATTTAAAAAAGCCCTTGGAAATAGACATTAGAACCCAGCACTGCTCTGTGCTTGTTATGTCTGAACATTGCATGAGATAGATAGGATGCTTCTCTTAGTTCTTCTTTGACCCACTGCCCTTTGCATGTATTTGCTGCACAGCAGAATGGCTTTAGCTGCAGAGGAGAGCATGGGGGGCAAGTATGCCCATTCTGAATGGTCTCAAGTGTTGTTGTGAGATGTCCTTCAGGAAGACAAGATATACATATCTAATCTCTCATTTTAGTCCCTGCAGTCTTCTAGGAAATCTCTGTGTACGTAAAAGCACTTGATTCTGTAGGTAGGCACGTTTTTGGCTTGGAGGGTGTTTTTATGGTGTATTTTTTAGAAGTAGTGGATTTGCAAACCCAATAGGGCATTCCAGACTGTGAATTGCAACTTAATATAATTGGAAATAATATAGTTCCCTTTTCCCAAGGTTTTTATAAAGGAGCATATTTGCTTTATTCAGGGCTGTGGGATTTAGTCAGGGATTTAAGTGGTACAATCGTTTGGCATTTAGGAGTCTAGGCTTCTTTGGTAGAATTAAGTGCCTGTCATTTTCACTCTGGGAGGAGAAAAATATACTGCAGAGAAACTGTTTTGTCAAATGCCATTTGGTGCTACATCAGCTTATTTTTGTGAAGGATTGGTGTTTTGCAGATCTCTTAAAGTTTGTTCTCTTGATAATATTGATGATGTCATTGAGGAAGTAGAAATTGCAGGCTGTTGATCTCTAGAGAACATTTACAATTTTTCTAGGTTAAGAAGCATAATAGTAGGCTGCAGTGTCTTTTGCTAAGTGCTGTATTTATTTGGGATGGAATTATATTCTCATCTAGAATCATTACTGTGCTGTTACTAACATAATCTAAATGAAGAATAGTCATGGATTCCCTAGTTTTAATTGTGTTTGGTACACCATGCCTTGCCAAAAAAAAAACCCACAGGGTTACAGATGGAAAGTGAGATACAAGAAATAATTAATACTTGTTAAAAAAAATCTTTACATTTGGCTTACATGTAGCTTTTCCATTTCCAATAATCCTATAAAGATTTGTGGTGTAAAAATACATGGTTTAATTTTAAAACCAGCACGTTTATTTATAAGCACTGAATGTAAAAATATTTAGTACTGTTAAATTTTTACTTGAGTCTGTGTACCAGTTGTCATCATAAGTGCATTGCTGCCTTATCATTTTCCTGGCACATTGAAACATTATTTTAATCTCCTCGGTTTTCTCAATATGTAGACAACAATGTGGGATTTTTAACAATCGGAGGTTATGTATTGATTACCATGGAACTTTTTGGGGGGTTAATTTGAGCTAGTTTTGGTTTGGTTTTGGGGTTTTTTTAATAAAAGCTCATGATTACTTCTATAATTGATAAATAATTAAGTTGACTTGATGCCACTATAAAAATGGTTTGCAGAAAAAGGGAATCATGGAGAAATTCTTAAAACTAGCATTTCACATGTAATTTTTTGTACTCATACAATTTCTTTCCTTTATTTCAGCTGCAATTAAAACATGCAGTAACAGTAGCTGAAGTGAGTCAATTGAAGGAGAAAGTAAGTTTTCAAAGAGTCTTATTATTTGGTTGGGTGGGTTTTTGTTGGGTGGTTTGCTTTGGGATTTTTCTTATTTCTGTGGCTACTGATTTTACCAGGAATAAGCTGAATAGAGAAGGCAGAATCCATTTAGGCTTTAGGAACCTTCAGTGTTGTGCTAGACAGACTAAGCTGAAGAGCTACGCTCAAATTAAAAATAAAGAAAAAATACAACAAAACCTACACAAACCAGTAAAAAAATCCTGCCCCAAAATCCCCTCTGTGCCATTACAAAATGAATGATTCAGTATTACTACGTAGAGTAGCTGAATATAGTGGAGTACTGTATGAAACAAGCTCCTAAACAAATATGAGAACATTATCACTGGATAAAACTTGGCTAATTTGAGTTTAGATTTGGTTCTTGCAGACAATGGTTTGTGGCTGTCTTTCTGTTACCAGAAAGTTATTTCTGTTATCCTGTTTCCCCTCTTTCCATCCTCAAATTTCTGACCTGCTCTGGGCAGAGAGTTTGTTTCAGCTTTTTTTTTTGGTGAGGATTCATTCAATGCTTATGCTTATTCTGAGAAAGGCCTGTCAGGCCTTATCCTGTCAGGCCCCATAGATTCTCATTCTTTTTTACTGCTTTTTCCACTGATGCAGATTTGTGTGTGGCCTTTTTCTGGAAATATTACTTGTGGGAGAGCAGCTTCTTTTATTCCATTTTCCATCTGTGTTGCCTTGCTCAGAAATGCATACCTTAGGACAAGCTGCAGCACATTGCTGGGAGCAGGTAGCAAGTGGGGAGGGGATAGTGCTTCAGATTGCAATAATTTTCAATAGCAGTATCTATTGGGGTCTTTCGTGCACTCTGCAACTGTTGAGAGCTGCAAGTGTAGAGAGGCAAGGCAGACAAAACTACTTGGCGATATGATAGTTCCAGTTTTGATTTCCAACAGTGCTCCTTGTCTTTGCAGTATTCTTGAAATTTGGCCCCACTGGGTTGCCAAAAAACTGTTGGAAATGTCGGTGTTAGTACAACTTACAGCCCCACTTTTAATTCAAGACATTCTTAGTCTTTCAACATCTCTGTTCCATCAGCAGGTGATCTTAACTGGCTTCAAAAGCAGTGATTTCCTCATTGTAAAAGTGAGGACACTTACAAACTAGGCTGTATCTTGTCTGTCTACTTTTATAATGTGGCTTCTGTCCAGCTGAAGGGGTGGCATCCCTTTTGTTTATCGAGGGAATGTTTGGTTGTTTTGTACATTAGCTCAAGGAAAGCAAACCGTGTGTATGTCATCATTTATTAGGAAGACCAATGTTACAGAATCACAGAACATGCCAAGTTGGAAGAGACCCGTAAGGATCAAGTTCAACTCCTTGCCCTACACAGGACCGTCCCCAAGAGTCACACCATGTGCCTGAGAGCATTGTCCAAATGCTTCTTTTGAACTCTGGCAGTCTTGGTGCTGTGACCACTTCCCTGGGGAGCCTGTTCCAGCATCCAACCACCCTCTAAGTGAAGAACCTCTTTTTAATATCCAACCTAAACCTTCCTGGACGCAACTTCAGGCCATTCCCTGGGGTTCTGTAACTGGTCACCACAGAGAAGAGATCAATGCCTGCCCCTCCTCTTCCACTCACAAGGAAGTTGTAACTGCAATGAGGTCTCCCCTCAGTCTCCTCCAACTGAACATACCATGTGCCCTCAGCTGTTCCTCACCGACTTCCCCTCAAGGCCCTTCACCACCTTCGTTACCCTCCTTTGGACACTCTCTAGTATCTTAATGTCTTTCTTATATTGTGGTGCCCAAAACTGTGCACAGTATTCAAGGTGAGACCGCCCCAGTGCAGAGCAGAGCGGGACAATCCCCTTCCTTGACCGGCTGGCGATGCTGGGCCTGATGCCCCTCAGGACACAGTTTGCCCTCCTGGCCGCCAGGGCACTGCTGACTCATACTCAGCTTGCCATTGACCAGGACTCCCAGGTTCTTTTCCATGGCACTGCTTTCCAGCATCTCATTCCCCAGTCTGTCTGTACATCTGAGGTTGCCCCATCCCAGGTGCAGAATCCAACACTTTCCCTTGCTGAACTTCATGTGGTTGATAATTGCCCAGCCCTCTAATTTGTCCAGGTCTCTCTGCAGGGCCTTTGAGGGAGTCAACAGCTCCTCCCAGTTTTGTGTCATCTCCAGACTTGCTTAATATTCCTTCCAGTCCTGTCTCCAAGTCACATATGAAGATGTTGAAGAGCACAGGGCCCAAGATGGAGCCCTGTGGCACCCCAGTAGTGACAGGTTTCCAGTCTGATGTTACCCCATTCACTATTACCCTCTGTGCTCGACCCGTGAGCCAATTGCTCACCCACCACATGATGTGTTTATCCACCTGTGTGCTGGACAGTTTGTCCAGCAGGATACTGTGAGAGACAGTATCCAAAGCTTTACTGAAATCCAAAAAGATGACATCAGCTGGCTTCTCTGGATCAGCTAGGTGGGTTACCCTGTCATAAAAGGAAATCAGATTTAATAAGCAGGACTTTGCTGTCATGAAGCCGTGCTGGCTGTGACCAATGACTGCGTTGTCTTTCATGTTTTTTTCAATACCTCCCAGAATAATCTTCTCCATAACTTTACCAGGCACTGAGGTGAGACTGACAGGCCTGTAGTTTCCAGGGATCTCCTTCTTGCCCTCCTTGAAAATCGAGACAACATTCACCAGCTTCCAATCAGCTGGGACCCATCCAGATTCCCAAGCCACTCAAAAATCGTCAAGAGGGGCTTTGAGATGACATCAGCAGCTCTTTGAGGATTCTGGGATGAATCCCGTCAGGCCCCATAGATTTGTAGGGATCCAGCTGGAGCAGCAGATCCTGCACAATTTCAGAGTCAACTGGGAGTTGATGATTCTCTCAGTCATGGTCCTCCAGCTCAGGGCACTGAGACCCCCATGGTCCATCATCCGTGTTGAAGACAGAGGCAAAGAAAACATTAAACACCTCTGCCTTGTCTCTGTCCCTGTTTGGGAGGTGACCATCCTCATCCTGTAACAGGCCAATGATATTTCTACACTGCTTATTGCCATTAATATATTTGAAAAAACTCTTTTTACCATCCCCAACATTTCTGGCAGCTGCAACTCCAGCTGAGCCTTGGCCGCATGAATTTTCTCTCTACAGTGGCAAGCAGAATCTCTGTTCTTCCCATGTCACTTGACCTTGCTTCCACTGAGCATACATTTCCCTTTTATGCCTTATTTCCAAGAAAAGATGCCTACTCAGCCAAGCCAGCCTTCTGCCTGACCTGCTTGATTTCCAGCATTTGGGAATTGCTGCTCCTGTGCCCTTAGGAGGTGATGTTTGAAAAGCCACCAGCACTGATGGACCCCAGCACCTGCAAAAACGTTTTCCCAGGGGACTTTACTTACTAGTTCCCTGAGCAACCTGAAATCTGCTGTGATCACATTTAGAGTTGAGGTTTTACTGTCACTTTTCCTCCTGTCAACAGAGATTTTACACAACCACCAATCTCCACTTCACTGATGAGATCCCCTCTGACTCCCGCAATGACATCTGCATTTTTTGTTTGTCCCTTGATTGTTACCCAGAGGCTCCCACCAACTGTGCATTGCCAACTGTGAGCTCCATACATTCTAATCCTTCATTACATACAGTGCCTTGCCTCTGCCTCTTCTACCCTGCCTATCCCTCCTGAAGAGCTTGTAACCATCCAACAGGGCACTCCAGTCACATATAAAATACCAGGGAAGATCGTCTGGTCTCATTATTTCATTATTCAAAAAGTGGTTGGTAACAAAGTAGTAGGACAGGGAGCTTGTCTTATACAGGTTATTATTCTTTATCTCTGGTTGCCTTTGAAGGTATTCAAAATAGGACTCTCTGGAGCTAAAGATATAGTGAGATCTGGAACGATATAAATTGACAATAATGGTACTGCTCATTTTATCTCTCCAGAAAAAAAGTGATACCAATGAGGAAGCAGTGAAAAGCTCTTGGGTTTCAGTGCTAAACTTGCTCGGATTAGCAAGGGTTGGAAGAGTTTACATGATTACTTTAACAGTTGTGTCTGGTTTTAATATTACTGATAAGTATGTAATTGTTATTAGCTGTTCTCTACTTAAACATGTATGAGCAACTGATTTTTATTTCATCTTTTAGTTTAGATTAATTCCTTAAGTATTAATCTTTTCAGTTAAAAATTGTTGAAGCTGAAAAAAATGAATGGAAATTTAATCGAGCCCAGCTACAGCAAAACTTGGATGAAAGCAAAGAGAAAATTAAAAAGCTAGAGACCTACTGGTTAGAGGCACAAAATTTATGCAAAACAGTGAATGAGCATCTTAAAGAGACTCAAGAACAATGTGATGCCCTTGAAAAGAAATACAGCAAGGCCAAGAAATTGCTTAAAGATTACCAACAAAAGTAAGTACCCCAAAATACTAGGTCTCTATTTATTGCTTGTATGTTTTGTACATTATAGAGAAAGCTGTCAACAATACTAAGGGGTAGGATTCACTTAATGTGCTTTGTTTTCATTTATCAGAGTTTAGGGAAGCAGTGGGCTATAAATGCTGAATTCTTCCATACCTTAAGTCACTGACTTCTGGAAAGGTTCTCCAGAAATTTTGCTGTTGCTTTTGATTCTTACCTTAGGAACAATTATTTAATATTTCAATAACAATTTTTTTAAAACAACTTAGTTGAGAAGCTGTAATACATCTATACTTTTGGATGGACTACTTGAAATTTGACATGAGGTGTTTGTGGAAAATTTGCTGTTTGTGGAAAACCCTTTGACTGATTTATATGTTCCAGATAGAGTAGGCATCAGAGGATATTTAATAAAAGTCAGATACATGTGATTCAGTCTGAGTTAGAAGTTATATTTTGTAAGGGGAGTAACAGGAATTATGAGAAAAATTGAGTTTAGGATATGTATCTAGCCCAATAAAATGGCAGCATGAAAACAGTATCTTCAATCTGTTAATGGCTTTGGAGTAGGAGTAATATTGCTTATTAGACACACCTGTATAAGACTTGAATGCTGTTGTCCTGCAGTTGTGTCTAATTGTTCTACCTTCTTTCCTCTTAACTAAACAACAGCTAATTGCAAAATATTTGTAGATGTGTCTCGATAATACAGAACACAACTGTTGCTTTTGATAGTTACTGTAAGCGTATAATTCTCTTGTCCCCAGTTTCTCTACTTGCTATTTATTTTTAAAGGCAGTTTATATGGTCTTTTGCTCTGTAGTCCACATCCAGAAGTGTTACTTTTAACAGTACATTTTTGTGCTGGTTGGTGATCTTTTTAAAGGTCTCCTTTCCCCTCTCCTCCCAAGCTTATCCGCATGGAAGTTCAAAAGTACGTTAAGACGACTGCTAACATGCTAGTTTCCATTTCTTCACTGCTAAGCAAATTCCCATTATCCATTTGACTGTCCCTGAAGCTTTTGCATATTTTGTAGATGTTTTATGCTTATTTCCTGGTTTTATATGTCATTCCATATGATGCAGCCAAAACCAACTTTTATTTTTGTTTCCTTTTCGTAGTCATTGTTTCTTTTTGTAAAACTCAGCCATTGCAATTTCTGTAGGATGAACCAAGTAGAAACTTGAAATGCAATTTATTTTCCTACAAAGAATTTTACCATTGCTTTTGGAAGGAAAATACTGTGTGTGCATGTATCTTTGTGGAAGAGAGTAAGATGTAATGATTGGAGTTGTGCATGTATTTCAGGCTTAAATGTGTATACAACTTGCCACTTTTAAAAGTTGAGAGATGGTTGTAACTTTGCAGAAAAAGTGTTGCCACACATCCTTTTTCTGCCCAGAGTAAATGATAGTCATATATATTTTCTTTTGAAGACAGAAGAAGCATACAAATACATAGGTCATTTTATGACATTACAAGATTAATGAATCAGTTATACATTACAGGCTGATTTTTGTCTCCATTTACTAATGGAATGCTTTTTAGTAAATGCAGTTGTGCATATTTCTATTTTATGTATTTTTCTACATTTCTGTGTATTACTGTTTCATAGATATATTCATATTTCTTTCACCAGAGAAATAGAATTTATGAAGAAAGAAGAAGAGCATTCAAGGCTACTTGAAGAGAGAGACCAGAAATATGCAGAACAACTGAAAATATATCAGGAAAAAGTAAAGCAATATTATATTTTGAAATAAACTTCTGAATTTTTGGAGAGTTGTATCTCACTTCTGAATTTTAATTCTTGCAGATTTCGGAACTTGAAACTAAATTAAAAGTATATGAGAAAATGCCTTATGTTTTTGAACATGGTGGTTTATTGGAAGATGGCTGTCAAAGTCCAGGCCAACCTAACGAACAGTCAAAGATAAAAGAAGAAAATGAAAAAGAAACCAAATCAATAGAAGAAAGAATAAATTCTTTAGATATGCTCATTTCTGGTAAGTAGGTTGTAGGATTTTTGATTTGCATATAACAAAAATTAGGAGGATTTACATGTGTATTGGTTTTTTTGTTCTTACAAGAAGTGAAGTGTTTGCTATTTCATAGTGACTGGGTAAATATTTGACCTGAGCCAGTGTGGATAGCTGAGTTTAGGTTCCCCCAACATTTTCAGTATTGTTGTAATGTATTTCTTAAATGTTGTGGGAAAGAGGAGACAGATGGAGAGACAACCATTTTAACTGTTCCTCATTCTCTGTCAGTGAAATCAATAATGTTAGTGGGACTAAAACACTGAGATAATGTCAGTTAAAATCCCATTAATTTTAAGCTATGATTTACAGCAAAACTTGGTATGGTTTTTTCCTTTTAATTTTGTGCCCAGAAAGTTATAAAATATCAGATGGAGGCTCAAATAAGAATCATATTTGTAAAATATGTGGTAAATGCTTATGTGAGTTTCTGTCTTAAAGAACGAGAATAGGAAAACACACTCAGGGCACAAATTTTCATCTATTTGAAAATAAAATTCAGTTTTCAAGCCATAATACAATTATATTCTGTTGGATTTTATATTTTTAATTGAAGAAGTTGAGTAGAAGTATATTTCAAATTAACTAGAAATTGCTATCAGAATGTGTTTAAATAGTGTAGTATAATATAAAGAGTATTTTCCTATAGTAATGGTTAACAGGTAGAATAATTCTGATCTAAATTCTGAATATTTTTCTGGACGGTGGGTTGGTCAACTTGCCTACCAGTTTGTGCTGTTTTATTTGTTTGGTTTTTTAAAGAAGTTCCTATTTGTTGCAGATTTTGATGCTTTTGTTGGGGATACTCCCAGATTAGACACCAGTGCCCACAAAGCAAAAGCTCAGCTTGCTTTGAAAGTGAAACGCCAGCCACCTTCTCGATCAAAGCTGAAAGAATCTCTTGGGGCTGGACAACAGACTGCAAATCTACAGGTACTGATATTGGTAGATAATTATGCATACAGGAACCTGAATATGTGTTGAGTTTTATCAGTATTTGCAATTTTAAGTGTTGTCCATGCTTCATTCAGGCTGTGCCAAAGCATCACATTTTTATGCTGTATCAAGTGAAAAAACCCTTTTTGGGTTCATACCATATATGTGAACTCTGGCATGTTTTTGTGGCACAGTTAATTTGAAGTTAGCAAAGAACTATGCAAGCTTGTTGTATTCTGCTTACTGAGATTTTGATACAGCGACATGTTGTGAAATATACTCATTTATCTTATTATTATTTCACCTGAAACAAGTTAGTTACCAGATTTCTTCAAAAACTAAATACTTCTGAAATGCTTCATTACTCCATAAGTCGTCATTTAAGTTCACAAGAAGTATACCAGTAAAATGTTCTATCGTGTTTCTGGAAAACAGTGGAAGAATTGAGGTGTATATAGTCAGTATGTGAGAGCCTGTCATAGAAGGAGAACATTGAACTAATTCAGTTAGACTGAAAAGTGGTTACATTGAATTGGAATGCCCAAGGTGTAGCAGAACATTTCTGACTTGACTAGAAAAAGATGATTTTTGATGTGCAAAAAGATCTATATAAAGGTGGATAACAGAAAGCCTATAAAATGAGTTTCAAGATGGTCTCCGCAAGCGAGTACATTCAGAAAATTTTCAGAACTGATCAACTTTGTGTAGCATAACATATCCTTCCATCCTGGTAAAAGATCATACAGTAAATGAGTATATGTCATGTTTATTATAAAATGACTTTTGACTTTGTTGAAGGATGAGGATTCAGAAGATACTGTTCTCAACAGAGAACTTTCCACTATGTACCTAACCAAGACCTTAGAAACAAGTGAAAAATTACCTCTCCCACGCCTGGATGACTCAGATCGAAAGAGTGAAAAGCTGGAAAAAAGAGAAAGCACAGAAAGTCCTCTAGAGTCAAGTCCTTCTGCTTCCACACACTCTTCTCCAGTACACAAACCAAGCAACGAAAATAGCACCACCACTCCTCGTTCACCTCCTCCTGAAGAGATGACTCCAAGTTCTCCTCAAGGGTATCTCAAGAATGTTAAACAAAGAGAGGCAAAAGGGAAAGGGAAAGAGGCCAAGGGTAAGACTTAAGGGTTTATAATCAACCTAGTCACTGTTAAGCATTATTTGATGGAAATACTTGGCTTTTTTTCTTATGAATAATTTGAAAAGGCATCTAATATAATCTTTTAAAAATTTGATATTTTCTGTAATCAGCTAGCACAAATGTATAAAAGGCAGATGATACTTGCTGTCTTTTCTATAGAGCTCAGAAAAACCCTTCTTTTAATACCCTGAAACAGGATTTATTTTATGCTCTCCTCAATTTGTGTTTCTATAAAGTCTTAAAAATAGTTCTAACCCAGCAATACAAGAAAGACATTAAGCTATTAGAGAGTGTCCAAAGCAGGGCAATGAAAGTGTTGAAGGGCCTTGAGGGGAAGTCGTGTGAGGAGCAGCTGAGGGCACATGATATGTTCAGTTGGAGGAGACTGAGGGGAGACCTCATTGCAGTTACAACTTCCTTGTGAGGGGAAGAGGAGGGGCAGGCACTGATCTCTTCTCTGTGGTGACCAGTTACAGGACCCCAGGGAATGGCCAGAAGTTGTGTCAGAGGAGGTTTGGGTTGAATATTAGAAAAAGATTCTTCACCCAGAGGGTGGCTGGGCACTGAAACAGCCTGCCCAGGGAAGTGGTCACAGCATCAAGCTTGCCAGAATTCAAGAAGCATTTGGACAATGCTCTCAGGCACATAGTGTGACTCTTGGGGATGGTTCTGTGTAGGGCCAGGAGTTAGACTCGATGATCCTTGTGCGTCCTTTCCAACTCAGCATATTCTGTGATTCTGTTAGTTTAAAAAAAAAATCAAACCATTTATCAAAACAAGTACCTGATATATAAATATATTGATTTTGCTTTCTTTTCTACATTTTTTGTGGTGGCAGAAGCATTGCAAACACCTTTTTTTTTTTTTTAAATTGGCCCCTGGAGGAGCTAATTATTGGAGTACATCAAAGATGAGGATTACTATAAAGAGGTTGCTCTTTGTGCGCAAATACTACTTTCTGCTAGATTGTTGCTCTCTAACCATATTTAAATGTCTACCTATTATTTCATTGAAATAATCCTTTCTATTACCTTCCCACACATTCATGTATCAGTCTGTATTTTAACCTATTGTGTTGGATTTAAGAAATTAGCTCTTTTCTTAAATATTACCTCTGGAAATAGAGGTGGAAACAAATGTCAATATTAAAAGTAATTCTATTGCTTTTGTATTTAAGTTGACAGAAAAAATAACGAGTTTAACTGTAGTTAATAATTTATTGGTTGTTACATGTTTAGAAAGAGTGGTTAACTAATCAGCTAAAGTTCTGATGTTGATCAGAAACTACTGATCAGATATGCCAAAAAAACCAAAAAGGGATAAACTCTTGACTATCCTGATAATTCAGTATGTCAGCTTTGAGATAATCATTACATGTTTCTGTAATTATTAGCTGATGAAGTGGTAGGGAATTGTCTTTAGTTTTGTGTAATAAACACGATTTTGGGGTTTTATGGTCCTTGAAGGCATCTGTGTACATTACTTCATGTCAGGAGTTGTCTTGAAGGCAGAACTTAAAGTCTGCTTTGTCTCACAAAAAGCAGATAGCATCTCTCTCACAAGCAGCTTAGTTATGAAACACCTGATTTGCAATACAAAACATATTTCAATTATTTAAAGAACATCTAGTAGCCTGTGAACTTAAAAGTAAGTACATTTAAAACTTGCAGTAATCTCTTACAAACCACTGAGAAGTGGTAGTGTGATGCTTAAGTTCATCACCTAATTTTATTTAATTATTGAAAAGTTGGTATTGAACATGTTTTATTTGGTGAAAAATTGGATCCTAAGAGGTGTTGTATGCAGTTTTGAAAATATGAGTGTTGGAGGAGCTTCGAAGTCCCAGTTGTTTCTTTAGAATTGTCACAATTGCTATACCATTTCCAAGAAACTCAGCTTGTTAGGATCTGTCTGCTCTTCAGGTAGTGACTGTCATGTTGGTTAGGCACACTTTCTGGAGCTGGCAGCTTGCATACACAGCCCACGTTTGAAGTAACTGGCCTAGGCTACTGAACCAGAAAAAATTACAAAAGGAACATCTATAATACTTCAGGCGTAATAAGGGATGATTAAATGCTCTACTTGCTCAACTGTTGCTTTAAAAATTAGTTTCCTTCATGCATCTTATACCGATTATCTAGTTTTAATTATCTGTTTTGTGTATTTTGAAGTTGACATTTTGCGAAAGGAGGAGATAGGTTTAGAAAAAAGTATCTTAAACTATCCTTTGTTTGTAATTCATTGAAGCAAAATACTGTGGCAAGTTTTATCTTTTTGTAGGCAGTATAGAATTCTATAATATAATAATTCTTTTTATCAAAAGCAGTATTTTTGAACAGTCATAAGTAACTGTTGTGTTGCCATTTTTCAGTGTCACAGCACAACCAGAATGATGGGAAGATATCATAGAGAATAACTTAGGTTGATATGGCAGTAGTATTTTCAGCTAGTGTCTGCATGTGAGAATGTGAATTTTAACATGTTCACTCAGGTTTTAGTATCTTCCTTACAAGCATTGTCATTAGTACTTGAAACTTGCAGGTATTTTTAAAATAATGTTTTTATTTTTCACCCCCCTGTGGAAAGCAGAAGAAAAGAAAAATGAAGACAGGACAGTAGAAACAAATGAAGGAACATCATCAGGGAAGTCCAAAAGGAGATTTCCAGATTTTGGGTAAGATTTTACTCTTGTTCCTTCGGACAAAAATGGTATCCTGTGTTACTTTTGAGAATATCATGTTATCTAAATAATAAAATGTTGAGGAAATCCAGTAATGCTACTTCATAGCAACATCACTGGATAGAGTCTTGATCATCTTGAATTTGTATTGCTCCTTTCATGTTTCTACCACATTTTCTATTTATCTATACTTTTTTCCTGTCAAAGAATTCCTTGGGGTTCTTCAGTTTTTATATGAATACACCACTGAATACACTAAATTGCAAATACACGTGTAGTTTTATGCCAAAATATTGTTGGTGCCTAAACTCTAATGTTATGTCCTGCTGGTGTTATACTATGAAATAGATACCTTTCTTGCCTTAATTCCTTCTACAGCAGAGGTGTCATTACATAGCTTTGGCTATAGTCTCTGCTTACTGAACTGTTCCTTGGAGGCAGGCATGAGCAGATTTCTGAGTTTCATTTAAAAAATGAGGTTGCCCACAGGGGTAAAACAGAAGTGCAAGCTGCATATTCTCTGGAAATAGTGTGGTAACTGAACTCTGGGGATTTGAGAGAAGAGTTGCTACATTTTGCAGTAAGTCTTGCTCCTTTGGAGACAGGTATAAAGCTTGTTGAAGCCATCTAACATTGAAGACTTAAACTGGTACTGCCACAAATGCATCATAATATATAATATAAAAATGATAACTTATTTCACACACAGATAGTGTAGGTAGTGACTTGGCTCAAGTCACTGTGCAATGCATAGAAATACTTATATAGCAATAAAACTGTGTTCTTCCTCTTGGTTGTATCTGCTATATGCTATGTTTCTTCGGGCATTTTCTGGTTTTATTTTGGTTATATGTGGTCTTTGAAAGGATACTGTCATTCTTAAAACATGAATGGCAACTTTTTTGCATCTATAATCTGCAAAATCATGCTTTGCGTAACAAGATGCTTTTTGTAACTGTTGAAATCAATGTAAAAACTAGTTTACTGATTTAAAAAATGTTGCAACTGTTTAAATGTAAATGCTGTATGAAATTTGTGTTTTTTCACTTCAGGGGATTACGGAAATCTGGGGGCAAGGGTAAGAAGCAAGAAAAAGAAAATCTAAGAGGTTCTCTGGATAGCAGGTAGTTATTTTGTTAGTTCAGTACATACGTGTTGCAGTCATAAAATTTGTAACCTAAGAATGTGTTTAAAAGTATCATTACTGTGATCTTGAAGTACACTCATGTTTAACAGTGACAAAATGATATGAAGATGAATGATGTAGAGAGGAGCTTCTAATCTCATTAAATAAGAAAAAAATACACAGAAAACTGCAGAGCAAATTATATATAAAAACTTTATTTTGCTTAGAAAGATGAATGTCAAGTAAATTAAATTAGTATATTGAAATTTTTTAATTGTGTGAAATACTGCAAAAGTTCTTAAATTTGTGTTGTTAAATAACTCACATTATTTTGCATGGATCTTTAAAGGTAAATATCAGCTCAGGTATCAGTTGTGCTGTGAAACTGGTGAAAATAAGTATTGAGTGTTTTGAGTTTGTTCTTGTTTTTAAGGCGGGGGTTGTGTGTTTGAGGGATGGGATGGAGGTTTTTCTATTGTTGTTTAAACACAATTTAATCTGTTTATCTCAGAGGTTCCCGAGAACTCTTGGATGACTCTGGCAACAATCTATCTGCATCAGATTCAGATTCCCCTGCTCCTACTTGCATGCCTTTCTCTTGGTTTGGAGACAGCCACAAAGAGCCTCCAGTTTCTAGTAGCAGCCTGCACGTTACCCAGAGCGGGCAGGATGGTTGTGAGCACGGTCAAGAGAAGAACAGAACCAAGGTAAAGATGACTGATTTGTGCTTTGAATATTTAAATGTTGCATCTTGATAAAGAAAAAACATCAGTGGTTAGTATGTGGAAGCCTAATGACTTAGTCCATGACCACATCACCTCTTACAAACGTTGCTGCAGAAGTTTGAGAATTTACAGCCCTTGCAAGCAGACACTGTTTGAGTGTTCCTGTTCCCTCCTCTTTAATTGAAACATCAGTAGTGGCTATTCAGGCTGAAGTAACACAAGGAAAAATCGCAGAGTATGTTTTTTCGCTGGTTTATAACGCTAAAAGTAATGCTAGCTTTAGGAAGGCATAGCTTTAAAAGCCAAATCTGTTTCCCAGCCTAGTACTTGGGGGAAGTGTACATAAATAGAGGTCAGCCTTCCAAGCAGTTGGCCAACCAGTTCTTACCATACTAGAATGTAGGGTTGGAATACCAGACTGTTGGAGAAAGGATAGCATCCTGGTTTTCATTAACAAATTTAGTATTGAAAGCCAAGAAGCATGTCCATAGAACACTGTCTCTTCCAAGAAACTACTTCTGAGTAACTGATAATGTTCTAATAATTTAAAACCTTTTAACCAGGTCCTAAAAGTGACACTACAGAGTTCAGTCTGTAGCCATAAAGTTACCATCTTTATAGTTTAAAACCATTTGAAAGAAATAGCTTTAAAAAGTAAAAAGTTTAATGTGTGCACTATCTAAATGTTTGGTAAGACTAAGTCTAAATGTAAGACTGTTCCCAACAAACTTATTAACTTCATTCTTGTTTCCTTTGGATTTTGTTAGATTGAAAATTATAGTTATTTGAGCAACCTCATAAGCTAAGTTTATTCTTGAGTTTCACACTTTTTCTTCACTTTGGATGGGCAAAATACCCTTTCATGTTTTCCTTTTCTTCTGTTATTAGAGAGAAATTGCATATCCAGAAAAGAAACTTGCCAGGTTGTAGTCCATGGAGTCACTGATGTTTTGCAGAGATGGCAGATAATAAGTTTGCTTTCCATGTTTCCAGATGCTGATTGCATTAAAAGGCTAATACATTTTTTAAATTACTTTCTGTTTTCTCATTGTAAATTTACAGTCCCTGTGATAGGACTAAGTTATCAGCATATGTAGTTTTTAAAAATTACAGAAAGTGGGTTTAGAACCATCCAGTACCTTACTATAACACAGGAACTTAATATGAGTAGGAACTTTTTGATCTCTGAAGTAGAACAGAACTTTATAGAATATTGCCCGGTGTGCGTCAATGCTCCTGCATTGTTCGCTTCTGTTGAGGCGTGCAGTGGCCAAAAGGTGTTTCTGTACATAACCAAGGATCTTGCAGGGTATATGCATATATTTTGATAAAATTTTTGATTAAATAGGAGTGCATGGTTGATCTCTTAATAGGCTGCAGCAAAGCTATCAAGAGATGTTTTCTGTCTAGATAAACATTCAGAGGTTTATCTTTCAAAGTCATTGATTCTGAAGAACCCATTCATCCCCTCTTCATTCCTCCTTTCTGATTCAAATAATTTTTCTCAGTCCCACTGCTGCATTTCTACTATAAGCACCTGTAATGTGCTTAAGCACCTCTTAAGGTTTTTATATATAGAAGTTCTTTTTGGCCATCAAAAAGGTATAGATCTTACCAGATTGGGTGCTCTCTTCCTTTTGTTGCCCTGAAATAATAGCCTTTTCTTCTTATTGTTGTCTACTTTATCCAAGTTTTATCACTTAAACCTTCCAGCTGGTTTCTTGCTACTGGTTTGGGGTTTTTTTTGTTGTTTCCTTCTCATGCTGCAGCATGTAATTGCTGCTTGCTGCTCTTTTCCTTAGTGCCAGTTGCAAAACAGCAGCTGGAAGATTATGCAAGTCTCCAGCTATATTCCTGCTTTGTAAAATGGGAGAAAGCTGATCCCATTGAAGAACAGATTCTCATACATTCATTAATCATAAAATCATACTTGTCCTCTCCAAAGTCAGGCCATTTTCACTTTGCAGTGTTTGAGGTCTCTTATAAAGATGGTAACGTGACAGTGGCTGCTCCTTGGAATGAATGACTAATCGTTCTAGATCTTAACCTGGAGTTGGTAATTACATTTGCACTACAGTAACAAGGCTTTGGCTTGTTTTGCTATGAAAAGACATTAAAGCTGACAAAGAAATGTGCTTGACCACTCAGCAGTGAGTCTTGTTACTAAAACAATATAAAAACAGGAACTAAGTCATCTTCCCAGAATTTAAGGAAAGAATACTTCTTTTTGTTGGTGTTAACCCCAAATGTGTAAATAAAGCAATTTATAGCAAGTGTAGCAATAGTATTTGCTGCTTTTATGTCTGTAATATCCCATATGATCATGTGAAAGCATTTCTTAAAGAACAGGTAAAAGTAGAAACTCTTAAATGAGAACTTTGTCATATAAAAAGTCTCTCACTTGTAATAAGTATTTTGCATTGTATATAATTTTTGTAGTTGTGTTTTAGCATTGATGATGTAAGAAATGTAATTATATTTTAACTGGTTTCTGTTTCTGCACAATTTGCCTCTAAGAGTTACTGCACCTAGAAGGTTTTTGTTTTCTTAAAATGATACTTAAGTTAGTTTTAAAATTACAGTTTGACAATGTAATGAGTCAACTTCTTGCTGCTTGTGAAATCTAGAAACACAGGAATTAAAATCCTATGATGAGTGCTTGCAGACTCTTTAGCCTTATGGAACTTCTGGACTACACTGTCCTTAAATTAGTCCCTTTGCATTCTCTGCCCCTTCATTTAGTGCCATTCTCTGATACACACACATAAATATTGTTCATATTCACTGTTTTTCCAGAGCTCTATTTAGCTTCTGTAAGCTTGTACACAGCGTTTCATTTTTGATGCAAGGAAGAGCAGTGTGGTATAAAGTATTTATATTCTAGTATCTAAAATCATAGAAAGCATACCTATAAAACCTCTTCTATCGAAATTCTATGTTCTTCAAGGATCAAAAATCTTTGCAATTGGCTCTAAATCCTTAAAAGGAAATTACTCCTTCTAAAAACTGAATAGGTGCAGGAAGTGGAGAAGACATTACAACTGATGCTCAAATGCTTTTACTTTTGGCTGTGTTTTCTTCATGTTTTTTCTAAGCTTTTTGCTTAAATATCATAATGCTGGGTTTGGATTTTTTAACCGGTTTGGTTCTTAATTGTTCTTGATTTTCTCTGTAAAGGTAGAAAGAGTGAATGGAGGGTGGCTAAAAGAAAAGCTCCTAAATAGATTTTCAGTTTGGGTTGAAGTTAATTTGAGAATTGGTTGATGGACAAAGTATTCTATTATTTCTGGTAATAATTTTTAATCTAGAAGACTGAAGAAGTGCCTAAAATATAATGTAATTAATAAAATAATCTACATGGTAAATAGAACACCATTTTTCAGTCATGGACAGTACCACACAAAGGTAGCAGGAAAACTCAAGTTGTGATTTGAGGTTTTTTGTTTGTTGCGTTATGGTGGTGATGGGTTTTTTCCTTGGTTTTTGGGGTGTGTTTATTTGAGGCTGGAAATGTGTATCATTAATTTAGAGTATAAGGGAGTGCACAGATCAAGTGTATGCTCCTATAACAAAAATAGAATAATCTAGAAAATTGAGAGTTCAGGTTAAATTGCAATCAGAACACAAATACAGAAGTGCTCGATAAATATAATGGCAAAAATGTAGTTCTCTTATGGGAGCATAATTTACTGAAGAAAAATGTCTTTAAGATCAGCTTAATTTAGAATTTCAGATTATTTATGCATATAGGGGTGTGGTATGGCATCCTTAAAAGTGTAATTACTTGATTAGAGACTTAAAGAAAATTAGAGAAAATAATGGTAAAGTAATTTCTTACTGTTTGTAGACAACAAAGAATAGTGCCGAGAAATAAATTTTAGAAAGGCAAAAGTAGGATGTGTGCTTTTGGCAGAATTATTTTTCACTCACTAAAGAAAAATATCATGCAGGTCACAATCTGAGTTGCAAATGGAGGTAATCAAATTAGAGAATATTCTGGAAAAGAGATACATTACTATTCTTCAGAAGGATTTTTTACCAAATTGCTGTGAAGTATTCAGGTGTAGCATCAGGTTTTTTCAGAGTCTTTCAGCTTGAGTCCCAGGCTGCTCATGTAACCTGCCTGAGGCTGTACCAGTACTGGTTGGCTAAGTTTCAGATCTTGCTGCTTTTAGATGCTAAGCCAGGCATAAGGATCAAAAAAACTTCCTTTAAACACAGACTAAGTGTAATAACTGAATGTAAACAGTAATGCTATGAAGATTTTACATTCTTTCAGTATGATTTTACATTCTTTCAATGTGATAGTCACATGATAGTATCTTAGTCATATTTCTAACCTGAATTTTGCTTTGACAAATTTATTATTTTAGTGAAGTAATAAAATACTAATTTTTTTTTTCTAAAGTAACAATCTTTTATTTCAGAAGAGTGTTCTGTTTTGCAAATAATATATTCAGGTGGTCAAACTGCATAACTAATGTTTATTTAAACTAGTTTTTCTAAAGACATCTGAGTAATTATTTAACATCTGAAATGTTCGGTTTTGTTGTAGTATTTTTACACTATTTGGTACTTTAAAGAAATTTTACATAGCTTGATATAGTCCATATACTATAAAAATTCTTCTAAAGATATTTTGCATTTATGTGGTATTTTTCATATACAGTAATTTTCAGATTACATGATTTTGTGCCTCAAATGCAGCCACCTCAAAACTGAATTACAGAATCACAGAGTAGTTTGGGTTGGAAGGGACCTTTAAAGGTCACCTAGTCCACCCCCCCTAGATCAGGTTGCTCAGAGGTCTGTTCAACCTGACCTTGAATGTTCCCAGGGATGGGGCATCTACCACCTCTCTGGGCAACCTGTTACAGTGTTTTACCACCTTCATTGAAGCTGTTAAAGGAACTGCAATACAGTACAGTATCTTAAATCAAAATTTAAAGTTTTTCGAAAGCTTGTCCTTGGCCAAGCTCTGTATTCTCTATTAATAAACTAATTTAAATCTCGTTTGCTTTACTGTTGACTACAGTGGTTCAACAGTGGGCAGCTGTGAAGTCTAGTCTAAACCTACTTCTCGTTTTCACAAACTTGTAAGATATGGGCGTATTCCCATGTGCCATGGGAATCCTGATGACCACAAACAATTAGGATGGATTTTTATCTCTGCAACAGGAGATAAAAACCATCACCTTCTGAAGCACATTCATAGTGCTTGTGTGGGCTTCAGTTTAATACAAATTCGGCATGAATAATTCCAACAAATGCATTTTAAATTGCTTCTCCTGAAGCATGGGGTGCCTGCTGAAAAAGTAACCACATGTATTTCCTTACGTACTTAACAACATTTCAGGTTATGACCAATTCTGCACACAAGGTGCTCTTATTGGGGATATTGATTTAAATTTGTTACTGTGTTTTTTTGAATTCAGAAGTTTAACAAAAACAAGTCAGATGCTTTATGTAGTTAGTGCATTTCATGTGTGTTCTAAAGGTAACTGAGTTTTACTGCTTTTTTATTTTAACCAAAAATCAAAATTACTAGAATGTCACCTTATGACCTGCTTTTCCAAGGAGTGAGTTAATAAAACGTTATTTCCACTTGTTTGCAGAGTAGAATTGTCATAGATGATACATACCATAGCAAGCCAAGTTGTGAACTTTCAGGGTTAGTGACAGAACCAAATCTGTCAGGTCGTTCACACACTTTAACCTTCTCTTCAAATGAGGTGAGTTTCAAAGTGTGTATATGTGTCTTGTTGATGTTGTTGTTCACACTACAGCATGTTTAACAGAAACAGATATGTGTAATGTGAAACTAGATGGCTATTCCATATTTGAATGTTGAAGAGCACTATAGAGAATCATAAGCTGTTAATGAACTAAAGGACACGGACTAGTGGGTGTCATCAGCCTGTGTGTTCTGATTCTAGTTATATCATAAAAATTGGAGTAAACTCTCTGATCAAATTGCAGTTTTTAATTTTAAATATAACGTTGTTCTTTTCCACTAATTTAAAGCAACTTCCTGGGTGAATAAAAACTGCAGCATTTTTGACCTTCACTTCTGTACAGGTTTGTTTTACTGTAAAATTTCATCTCAATAAAAACAAACAAAAAAAAGAAAAAAAAAAAAGAAAAAAAAGAAACAACCCAAAA